TGTCTGCACCAATACATTCCAGGTCAGTTGCGGGGCCGGGGCCAGGAAATGAGTGTACAAAGGCAACAAACCCATGCTGTAGACGAAGTGAGCACCTGCAACAAGCCCAGAAACTGTCTGCACCAATATATTACAGGCCGTTTGCGGAGCTGGGACCAGGACATGACTGTACAAGGGGACAAGGCCCATACTGTAGATAACCTGCAAGCCCAGAGATATTGCCGTAGACACCTGCACTACTGCACTCCACAATAGTTGCGGAGTCGGCTCGAGGACATGAGTGTAGAAAGGTACCAAACCTATGTTGTACAGGAACTGTGCAGTTGAAGATAATGCTCTCGACACATGCTCCATTGCAGTCCACACAAGTGTCAGTGCCGGGCCCAGGATGTGAGTGTAGAACGGCACCAAATACCCGTCGTAGACCAGCTGAGCACCGACAACAAGCCCAGAAACTGCATCCCAGGCCATTTGCGGTGGGGCCAGGATGTGAGTGTAGAATGGTACCAAAGCCAAGTCGTAAACGACCTGCAAACAAAGAGATATGTTCCTCTCCAGTCCCGCAAGAAATTGCACAACTGTGTTGATGGCAACGCAAAAAGGACCACCTCTGCGGCTTTCGATCTCTGCCTCTTTGGCGAGGGTGGAGATTGTCTTAAGCACTGTATAACAAACAAGGCACCCAGCCCCTAAGTGGGCCACGCGCAATCGCCACTGCCAGCGCCTCTGATTCCGTCTCCATTCTTGCATTAGGGGATGCTCTGGGCCTACATAGAAGGAAGTGGCATGGCAGGACTGGCGCTCCTCAATGGCTCCTTGGAAGGCTACTACACAAAACATCGACACCATACAGTTCCTGGTTTATTTCACAAGAGAGGTCGAAGGAGAACTCCTTCGAACCCTTCACCTGTTTCAGGACGCTGAAGTCCCTCACAAAACAGAAAGACGAACTCCAACAGCCCAGGCTCCGCAGCAATAAGGACACACAGTTTTCGGGAGTAAGGAGGAGCATTCGCTGCAGCAGACCTTGGCAGGGTTGAACCGGGATCCCCTGTAGAATTCACACGACAACCCCGGGGGGGCATTTTGTACCTACAAATGCGGCACCCCAGGTCCAAACCAACCAACCCATCTATAGAATCAAACCCCCCCAAGATAGAAAACTTATATAAGTCAAGTCTATAATATTGGGTTGGGGGTTGGCCATAGTGGGCTCACAGAGAATCGTGTCAACAGGAAAATGCTTAAACAACCATCTCCACAAAGTGGGTTCTGACCCTCTACAAAATTATGGTGGGTGAGCGCACATGCTCGAGTCAACGGAAAGATATGTAAAAAATGCCATTTGCAGATCATGTTTTTGCTAACATGCTCTACAAATCATGAACACCCAGGACAGTGATTCTGTAGAAAACCAATGTTTCTCTACAAAATGGTCGTTTCCAACACTTGGGTTGACCAAATTTGTAGAGGGAATGTCACAGGGGATGAACCGGGTAGAGTTTGGGCGCTCGAAGAGCAGTTTACTTTGGTGGAAAATTGGCGTACTGTACGCAATTTCATTGGGTCGACATGCTCGCTTGTCAGAGCGTGTACTCCACGCCAGTCTCGGTTCAAAGAAGGCCCTTGCGTTCCTTTCGATCGTGGTCGCATTGCCACCACCTGTTTTCGGATCCTCGCTTTCTGTTAGAGCCATTGCATGGTAGCGGAGATGTCCGGGGCTTGAGAGAAAGGAGACAAGTCAGGTTCTGCCAGGCCGATCCTGATCGAAGAGGGAGTCACTAGATCCAAGGATGGTGTGCCTCAATGGGACGGCGATTTCAGGTCGTTCCAAGAATATCAAGAGATGGCGCTACAGTGGGAACAGGGCATCCCTACCCACAAAAGGTACCTATGTAGGCTGCGCTTGCTAGGTGAGTTGTCTGGCATTGCGAGGAAGTATGTGGTGGGAAAGCGGCCTGATTGGCTATCATACAACGGCAGCTATGAACTCCTACGTCGCGCGCAAGAGTTAACCTTACAATCGAGCCAAACAGGCCCTGTCACGGTCCATCAAGACGATCGAGTACCAGGACATCGGGCTACATCCTCGCCTACCTGGACTACATGGCATCGGCCACAACAACATCAAGGGCGGTGGTCTTCACGACACCAGTCAACAACACCACAACCCTCGACAGAGTCCCAGGCACCGGCAAGTGAAGGAGCACATGTCCCACAAGAAGAGGATGGCTTCTATGATGCATCAGAAGGAGGCTTTGACCCATGGCGCCAATACGCATCCCGCGGTGCAGTGGACGCAAACCGCAACGGAGCTCCTGCCACACTACCTGGAGTGGTACCTCCTCCGTGACGCACACCTAAATAGTCATCCAGACCGCCGTGGGCAACACCTCGCCCAAGAGCTCCCCGCACATTGCTGAGCGTGATCAAGCTCACAAGCACTCCAGCTTCTGGAACCAAGATGAGCTCTCAGAGGAAGAGGCAGAGTTGCCGGAGCAACAGCACCAAATGAAAATGAGCCGCCAGTACTAGAAGGTCTCCACCACTGACAAGGTCCGTCAGACAGGTGAGGTCGCCGGCAAAGGGGGCATCAAATGCTTCAGATGTGGAGGTCCTCACAAAATTGCCAACTGTCCTGACCGTTCAGCACCTTCCCGAAATGAACATCACGTGGCACAGGAAGAGGCCCCTTTTGCGTGTTTCGCTGAGGCTTCCACGGAAGCGGTGACCTTGTTTGCCGATGAAGCATACCTGGCCGACACCGGCAAGACCACGAATCGGAAAAGCACAGAGCAGGCTATTGCTGAGGGCTATGGCATCGTTGATCGGGGAGCTACCAGAACCCTTGGCTCTGTCTACGCCATGGAGGCCCTCGTCATTGCAAACCTGCGAAAACGCCAGGATGGAGGTGTTTTGGAGGTGGACACCAACAACCAGCCGGTTTTTGGGTTCGGCAACAGTAGCCGCGACAAATGTTTGAGCGCCACCAAGATGCGCATTTCAGCCAACAACAAAGATGGAGCGCTGACCATCCACAATCATCCACACCTTAGACCGGGGGGAAGGACCAGTACTGTTGTCCATTTGAGGAAGACCTAGTGGTGTTCCGCGCAATGAAGCGGCCCCAACCCGGACACCAGCTGCTGCTGCTGACTGAAGACATGCCAAGTGTGCAGGCGATCCCTAGCTTGCGATCTTTTTGCTAGGAGTGGGGACAACTCCTTCCTTCTGCTGACAATAAGGCACCGGGGTCACCCTCATATGAAGAAGATATGGGGAAAGATTTTTTGGGGGTTGGTGAGGTTGGTTCGGTCTTGGTGGTCGAAAACACCAAACAAAGAACCAAATCACATACCGAGCAACTGCAGCACGGCAGCAGCCACTTAGATCAAGCACCAGGTCGACTACCACCGTGTCACAGCCCAAAACTTACACTGACAGGAGACAATGAGATCGTTCTTCTTCTTGTTGGCTTTTCCCAAGGATTGGTGACTGCTGCAAACTTTGCCTTGGGCCCTGACGATGCCCTTTTCTTCCATGTTGCTTCGTCGTTTGTCATTTCGAATCGGAACACGAAGAGAAAATCAAAAAGAAGTTGTATGTTTTACGCGCTGCCACCGGACATGGAAGTACCCGACACTAAGTCCGGGCAGGAGCTTCTAATGAAGTCATCCAACTTGCTAAAGATTTTCATTGCCCCATTTGTCCAGAGTCTCAGCGGTTGAACCACCGACATCTCTCTTCCCTGGAAGCCCTTCCACCAAAACTTGCCACCGTCAGTGCTGACGGAGGGAACCAACCCTCATAGTCTGGAGGAAAGTGAATTTGCTC